AGTTTATTACTATCTAAACACTACGATGAAAGGAAGGCTTCATTAGCAAACCAGTGTCAGATGGATATGTTCGTTCCTTAGTTTAGAGTTTATTACTATCTAAACACTACGATGAAAGGAAGGCTTCATTAGCAAACCAGTGTCAGATGGATATGTTCGTTCCTTAGTTTAGAGTTTATTACTATCTAAACACTACGATGAAAGGAAGTACTCTGTCGTAATTAAAAGGAAACTTGATAAATCGGATAAACCGAGTACAATTTAATGACACTGCTGTAGATAGTACCACAACTCACATTCTAAAAAGGTCTCATTACAAGAAAATAGTTCAACAAGACAATATTGCGTTCAAAATCTGTCTCAGCTAATAAGAAACACTCCTTTCTGGCATCTTTTTCCTTTAGCTAAAGCGATTAATTAGAGTGTTTTGTAAATATCTGTTCTTATGATAAAACAAGTAATAGCTATAAAGACTGAAACCCACTGACTAATGGTAATTTTTATCTCTCTCTAAACGTGACGGCCTCAATGGCACAGCGGTATGTCTTCGGACTTACAACGGTAGAAACCGGGTTTCGATACCCGTGGTGGTTAGAGCACATATAGCCTATTGTATAGTTCAGTGCTTAATTACAGACAAATGTAAACGTGATGAAATATTCAGCTGAAGTATAACTTTTTGTCTTTGATATACTATTATTTTCATTTCCCTAACACTGATAAAAAATGCAATGGTAAAAGGAATTGACATTTTTGCCTTCAACACATATTTTATTGCGATTCCACAGTGTACCACATTACAATGCATGACTCACAATGACTCGGTTTCATCGTCCGTAAGATCCCAGAGTTTTCTGTTTAGATAAACGCCAATAAGGAAAACTTTGTAGCATACCACACGCAATATTAAACGAGATTAAGCTCAATCTCTTTATATTGTCAGGCAAGTGCCGTTAATTAAAAAAAACAACTAATCTAACTTACTGTATTTCCTGTTATCTTCAAAGTAAATGTAGAGATTATTACATCACGCAATGATAAGATCTCTTTGAATTTGTTGGTGTTTCACCAATTTTGGTGCCATATTTTTTATTTATGTACATGTGCACGACTAAAAATGAAATGTTTTGGTCATGCCTCTCACTTTTCCTTTCTTTGAAGTTAAATATACATATCTGAAAAAGCATATGGTGTAATAAAGTTAAATGTATAGTTCCAGTGGCCATATTATGCGTTATTCTAGTTAATATTCTTTATACAATGTTTTCCTTAATTTTAGCCATGCATCTCACTTTTCCTTCCTTTCTAGTTAAATATACATATCTGAAAAAGCATATGGTGTAATAAAGTTAAATGTATTGTTCCAGTGGCCATATTATGCGTTATTCTAGTTAATATTCGTTATACAATTTTTTCCTTAATCAAACATACATTTTTTGCACTGAACTTCGTTCGTAACATTTTGTCGTTTCAAATTTTCAGATTGGTTTTTGTTATTCTAACTTTTTAATTCGATTAATTATTGTAGTTGTTATATTGTGATTCTGATAGTAAGCGCTTTCATAGGTTGCGTATGTAGTATATAAAACATATATGTATATTAATACTCTTCAAATTTCAAACAAATGTTTGAAAATCACATTGCTGTTACGGGCATTTAGATATAAATTCCAAATTTTGTATTACCGAAGAAATAAGTTGCATTTAAAATGCCTGTCAATAAAAACGACATTATTTCGGATACTTTGTATCATTTATAAGATCATTTACTCAAATTGATTTTGTTCAAGACCAATTACGATAATTTTCGTTGTCCTGTTCGATAGTGCTTTAGTGTATGAACAAACCTTGTAAAATGCACTCTTGTGAAGAAAATATGAAATGTTTTTTTTATTTTAATACAGTGAAACGTTTGTATTTATTTGTTAATAGAAACTACAAAATAATTGGACGAAACAAAATAAGGTATCTTGAACAACAATATTATTTTTGATTGTAGGTTAGTCGTCCTAAAACGAATGGATTGCTAGTAAAACACGCACAAAACAACTGTTACCAACTATAATATTTCACATTTATATGTGTGTGTGTGTGTGTGTTTGATAGGTTTAAAGTACATACAGCTAACATGAAAGAGTAAATACAAATATGCATTGACCTCCACGAATAAGTATTTTTTTAAATAATATTAATTAAAAAAAGAAACTCATTCTCTCTATATATACTCAATGTTAATCAGTAATTGATATTATAATCTTACAAATTTTCCAAAATACAAATTAAAAACAACCTATATGAACAAATAGATAATTCAATCTGTATAAAAATAAAAACCAAATTGTTATGAAAAATATTAATAATACTAGGTCACCACACTTACAACACCAAACATATTTGTGAATATTCTATCTACTAGTCCACAATTATGAATGTCAACTGTGAAGTTGTATAAGAAAATTAAATATTTTTTTCTAGGTAATAGATTTTGGTGCTTCAACCCACAATGTCTTTAATGACCTATTCTTCACCATCCGTGGCCGATTATGGGATGATAATTATCATCATATTGTATGAAATACTGTGAAAGGTATTATGGAAACTATAACAATGTAATAAAAAAAATGTTTTTGTATAATTACATACGAACTTTTATCTACGTTAACATACTCTTATTTGCAGAGCTTTCGGCCCTCTTAGAGAACTCTTCATCGGGCAACAATGTACTCAGTGTAGAGAAGAGTACATATATAGTTCTACATATTAATTTACCATAGTTATGAGTCTTAAACAACAAAATATTGTGTTGTTAAAATTCAAAAATTAAAATAAATTCCAAAAGCAACATAACATACGTTTTAGACTACTTTTTAGCGATACAGCATACAGACAAACGTGTCATCCAGACATTCATCATTCATACTACAAATATACCATGCCATTACAATACAAGTATACAATCTATAAATCAGTTATGAAACGTAGATTAGATAACAAACAATACACACATATACACATTAGACCTCAAAAAATAACTCATAAGTAATATCATCACAATATTCTTAGCCTAATAATATTCTATTTCAATAGAATGCACAGTAAGTTAGGTTTCTATAATTGTTCAGCTGGCCTTTTCAGTATTCTACATAATAATCAGAGTAACTTAGTAGTAAAGAAGTAATAAGATCTGAATTGTGCAATATATATTTATAAATATTGATCATAGAATACCCTCAAGTAGTAATATTGATGTGAAGAATCTATTATCATATTTATGAATGGCTATATATTAGTATATATCCTGAAAAACAACTAGTTGCTATATGCATTTATGAAATATTTAAGGGTAATATTAATGGCATTTAAAAATAAAATAATCGTTTGTTTTTATATTATCATAGGTTTGTTTGCTTGTTGATAAGTATAAAGTTGCACAATGGGCTTTCTTTGCTCTGCCAACCACTGGTATCGAAACCATATTTTGGCGTTGTAAGTTCTCAGACTTCCAATTGAGCCATCGAGATGCTTAGATTATTATTAATAATAGTAATATTGTATGAACAGAATTAAATTTATTGGCTTGACGTCGTTTAAGTTCTGAAAAGATAATACTTCGATTTGAGGAACTATTTAACTAGTTTCAACAATTAAAGCTCCTCTTTTATGAAACACTTCAAATGCGAGTGTTATGTTTAATTATAATTTCTAGGTAATTATCCTCTGACTGACTTTGTTTTGGTAACACTGTTTCTAATTCTGCCGGATATATTCCATTTAACGTTTGAAAGATAAGTGCGTTATTAAGACTAATTAAGTCATCAATTTATCTGAAAGTAAATTTAAATAATTTCCCTTTCTGATTTTGATTTAGGAGCTGAAATTCATAATAATATAAACATAGATTGGCCATATCAGCGGAATAGTTGTCTCCTACAGGCACACCGGTAGCAGTTTATAGAATTGTAGTTATGTAGTTAATATATATGTATTCGAAAAGAAATAGTGGTCTTTAATAATAAGATGAGTTTTAATACCAAAATCAGAAATAAAAATTATCAAACAAAAATTGCTAACCTTAGTTATATTAGGCAATGAAATATCTATACAAAGAGTGGTCAAACCAAAGGTTGAAATAACACTAAGATCATTGTTGGTTTATTAAATGTTCCAAAAGTTTCAAAATAAGAATATTATTTTGGATAATCGAAAGACCTTTAATGGGGAATTGCCTATAAGTTATTTTATCCCTTTAAGAATAACATATAAAATATTTTAAAGTAGGTTTTATTATAGTGTTGACAGAGCTACTAATAAATCAAAATTTAGTATGTGCTTTATGTGACTTTGAAATACCATACAGATAAGGAAGGTTTGAAATATTATCTCTTAACACAATTTTCTTATTGAGTGTCACAAGGTATTCATAATTTGACTATCATTATATTTTTCACTTAAAAGCAGAAAAAAAAGTTATGCTAATTTCATTAAGCAGAATTGTAGCATAAAATAGTTTACAAATAAAGGCAAAATTAGTGTCTACTTTATCAACTGAAATAATTGCTGTCGTATTTGTTATATTTTGTTTATAAACTTAAAGAAATGTAATACTATTTGATATTTGTTTAAGTTTATACGATATAAATTTACATTTAAATATTTTAGGAGGAAACGTTTTCACTGGAAAAAACGATGTGGCGGAAATACATAATTCTACACATTTTTGAGATAAAGTTTTCAAGTACTTCTTGCAAAACTGTTTGTGTGTGTAGGGTTTTAGATGAAAATGAATATTTGGCATATTTCCTGAAAACATGTCTTAGCTTATGATGTTCAACGACATCTAAGATTACGGTAACGATATGACCTTGAAAATTATGTTCAACGACATCTAGGATTACGGTAACGATATGACCTTGAATATTATGTTCAACGACATCTGGGATTACGGTAACGATATGACCTTGAAAATTATTTTAAAAAAAATTCTCCTACAATTGCAAACACATTCATATCTTTCAATGAATTAGTAATTTTTTTCAAAAACATATTTGTATACATACAGTCCAAATGGCTTACTTAATTTAAAACATACCGTATCGTGACTCACTTGAATGGGAGAGTATTATTCTGCTAAACTCTGATTTGTGGCTGATTGAGTTGATAATTTATCAACGATTTTATATTTTAAATCTCTAGCACAATAACACTTCTTTATTGTTATTATTATTAGGACTATTATTTGTAGGAATAATACTAATATTCAATATGAACATAATTAAGTGAAGGTGGAAGAGTTGATGCTTTGTGAAAGCACCTAAATCTAACCTCTACAAATATAATGTTGTTTTTCATATGCAGCTTCATAGTTCACAATAATAATTTACACTTGCGGACAGTTATACGGAATATATTTAGGTGTTATGAACGCAGTACACCCCTTTTTGTTCACAATAGCTTGTCATTTGTTTCATACGTTTCAGTTTATTTTATTCGTATAGGTTGTCTTTATGTACACTTAGAAAAAATGCTAGGCTGTGATACACATTATTGATTCACTTTCAGTACGTATATTTTTTATTTGTTTCCTATTGTATACATACATATATACGTATTGAATACTGAATGACAAAATTATTGGAAATTGTGGGGAGTTCTTTTTAAGTGGATAACATAAGTGTGGTTTGTGTTTTCTCTCAATTTCTATTAAGTTTATTTATTTATTGGTACTCTATTATTAGTATGCAACGTATATCTACTAAATACAAGCTGAACTTATATCATTAGTACTTGTTTATTACAGTACTGAAAAGGCACAGAATGGTTTCATATGAGGTATAATATGGGACTGTACATTTCTTGATATCATAACATATTTAGATTGAGATCATTGTACATCATTATTTAATTTTTTTAGTGCATATTGGTGTAGAGAAGACATATTAATACTAGAAATAAACGACCTTATTAGATACTCAACGTTTCGCTTTACAGCTTCTTCAGGAGCGTTCACTAAAACACAAATCGAAACTGACAGTACAAAGCTTCAAACATATAATAGCATTTGAAAATGTTCTTTAACTTCAAAGGCATTCTTTATTGTACATATATCGTATAAATAAAAGAAATCCATTATTTTGTTTCAGGAAGTAAAAATGTTACATAATTGCAATGCATATATACTTTTTCTCACATATGCATTACAAAGGTCATTAAGTTACCCAGTAGTTCGCAAAGTAATATTAATTCTACCTACATAATAAAACAATAACTATAGGTAGCTGACGAATGAAAAATTTTGAAATGGGAGACCTAATATAAGAAATACTGTAGTGCCACGTATATAAAATGCATATATATATATTCAGTATTCTAAAAAATATAGATATCCACTTTTTTTGCATGTTAATTTTGAAGTGTCACAGGTCAAACATATGGATGTAAGGGAATATGACAAGCAAACGTAACATTTACGTTATTATAAAAATTCGGTTGGAACATGTCAAATGTAAATCTTATTGAACTTTAATACGAAAATAGATTCACATCACACGTCAGATACCTTGAAGTAGGATGGGAAGACAGCGACATGCCATATATATGTATATATCATACTGAAGTAACGTGATATAACAGAAACACATTCTATGTACTTCGTAATCTGTTTGGTTGAACACAAATTGAAACGATATAAGATTTGACCTCAATGAAACCTCGAAGGAAAGAAATAATGCATTGTCAGCTACGTAATTGAACACGTTTGCTGACATAACTACACTGTTACAGTGGTTACAAACAACGTGTCTTGAAAGAGTATATACTCAGTATATTGGTAAGATGCATGTCATACTTATGGACCAATGGAATAATGCTTGTAAATGTTGTTGCTTTGGGCAACAGAAAATATGATATGTGTAAAAGAAGTCATGTGACTTTTTTTTCTAAATCATATATATATATATATATTGAGATATATAGTTGACTAAATCAAATCAAGTTACCATCTGAACAACCAGTAAAACAATTGGATGTTTTGAGGTAGTTTTCCAAGTGACCAAAAGTGATTTCACACATACCTCCTTCTGTCTCACATACAAGTGTCAAGCTTTCTCCTTCATTGTAGGGACCCACCAAGCTCTCCAACACCTGCCCGTTCACATCAGTTACCACTGGTTTATTTGGAGGAACTGAAACAAAAGAGTTTAACATAATTTTCTTAAATTAGTTTGCTATGCAACACATGTTAGACTAATACAAATCAATGATTACAGTTGTTAACATTTAGAACTTTGCGTGTCTTGTTCAGTCTTTGTTGAAAATGTTTTGACAACTCAGAGAATATTTATCTCAAGAAAAGCTTTTAGTATGATCAGAAAATATATATATTTAAAATTCAGAAAAAAAGGGTTCCCAGATAAAAGGAAAATATAATGAAAGATTGATGTTGATTTTAAAGGTATTTATTAATTAAATTATTTTAAACATCAAGCATGTTGTTGATAACAGATTTGTTTGTTTCGAATTTCGCACAAAGCTACACGAGGGCTATCTGTGCCAGCCATCCCTAATTTAGCAGTCAAAGACTAAAGTGAAGAAAGCTAGTCATTACTACCCACCGCTAACACTTAGGCTACTCTTTTACTAACGAATAGTGGGATTAACCGTAACATTATAACGACCCCACGGTTGAAAGGCGAGCACGTTTGGTGGAACGGAGATTCGAACCTGTGATCCTCAAATTGCGACTCAAGCGCCCTAACCACTTGGCCATGTCGGGCCTTGATAACAAGTAAAATGAAATACTTGTCTCTGATAAATGTCTTTTTTTAGGTTTCTGTAATTTCATCTCTCCGATTTAAAATACTAGTCCATATAGATTTAAGAAATAATGCGAGTTTCTTAAAATTTTGTTCGTCAATGTTCTGCTTGCTTTGAGGTTGAATTTGTTATTGATTAAACATGTAATTCTTTAGAAATATGGTAATTCAAGCTCAAAGCAAGCAAAACACTGACATATTTCTAAAGAATTACATGTTTAATCAATATCAAAGGTAATTCAACCTCAAAGCAAGCAGAACATTGACATATTTCTAAAGAATTACATGTTTAATCAATAACAAAGGTAATTCAACCTCAAAGCAAGCAGAACATTGACATATTTCTAAAGAATTACATGTTTAATCAATAACAAAGATAATTCAACCTCAAAGCAAGCAGAACATTGACATATTTCTAAAGAATTACATGTTTAATCAATAACAAAGATAATTCAACCTCAAAGTAATATTTCTAAAGAATTACATGTTTAATCAATAACAAAGATAATTCTACTTCATTATTTAAAACCAAATTTTAGGAGATTTTTATAGTTCAGAAACAAAAAGTGCGAAAACAGATATATAATTAGTGTAAGTGGACAATTTATTAACGTCTTTATTACTTTATCTTAGCACTATAACAGTAGAATTCAAATTATAAAACAGATATATAATTAGTGTAAGTGGACAATTTATTAACGTCTTTATTACTTTATCTTAACACTATAACAGTAGAATTCAAATTATTCTTCATTTTTATTCCAATATTGAGCTACGTTAAGTGTCAATTTTTTCGTCTTTTCAAAAAACATTGGTGATTTGTGGAAGCGATCCATTTCCTAAAAGAGTAAGAAATGGGTAATTTAGAATGAGTGACTTCCCACTCCTTAATACGGCTTTGGAACTCTTATTTCCAGCATTTGACTTCTCTCTCTCCCGTGAATTTGTAATACACAAGTGTATATCGTCTCAGAAGAAATTATGTTATGCATTACTGAAGCGCTTGCAATTATATACGTAAAAGCAACTTTGCTGTATTTTAAAATGCATAGATTCATACTTATTTTAATTTCCAAAATGTATATAATATCACATATATATATTTAGTTGTTGGCATTTTTGCCCTATTTCATGTGTTTATTGGTATTACTCTTAACTAATTAAAGCGTACATATTATATATATATATATATATACATATACATGCCTATATTTATATACACTTATTATAACACTTCGTTCTGCGGCTTTAATGCGCCGTTGCACAATTTTGAACCTTTAATCACAGTTACTATTAAAGTTGAAAAAGGTGCAGTATTTTTGCTAAATTCTCTTGAGCAAAAGGCAATATCGACTGTGTAAAATAAACACATACATTTCCCCAGGTCACAGTTATCTATAAAACTCTAGAGGAAGCCAAGTCAATTCTAGCACTTAAAAAAAAGGCATATTTGACCGTTCAAGTTTGAAATCAATTCCAGCCTATTTGATTTCGACCAGATATTTGTATGTGTGTGCGTATACATTTTATTGTTTCTTGAATGGGTTATTGTATCTCTAGGCATGGTAGGACCATAACGGGACCCAACACTTAGCATTAATTATTATCCTGCTTCGTCAGAAAATGGATTCATGATGAATTAGTCCACATTTGAACGTTATACAAACTGAATCCCGCACATTTCAAAACCACTTTACCAGTAAACTGATAAAGCTGACAAGAAAGACATTTGTCGAGTGCAAGCACACATGTATAACGTGTGCAATAATTTATCAACCCGATCCGATTTCTCGACACATCCCTAAGTGAATTATTGAAATTGACATTTACATGATTTGGTTACTGCTGCAAATGTAAGAGTAGGAGACATTAAATACACTTATCCGGTTTAGAAAAATATCTTCATCATATCTTTTTGATATTATCAGCTTTTGGGGATTATTTTGTACTATGTTTAAGATTGTTGTTTTTTAAAGATGACTTTCCATATATTACCACATCTTGGGCATCCATCATAACTAGCAGTTAATTATTTTTTTATATTATCAGCTTTTGGGGATTATTTTGTACTATGTTTAAGATTGTTGTTTTTTAAAGATGACTTTCCATATATTACCACATCTTGGGCATCCATCATAACTAGCAGTTAATTATTTTTTTATATTATCAGCTTTTGGGGATTATTTTCTACGATTTATTGTACTATGTTTAAGATTGTTGTTTTTTAAAGATGACTTTCCATATATTACCACATCTTGGGCATCCATCATAACTAGCAGTTAATTATTTTATTATAGGTTT